AGCCGGGGCCAGTGCGCGCTCGCTGCAGCCACAGCTGCTTTTTGCTGCTCCCCCCCAGCCCAGCCTTCGGCCGGCTTCGGGTTACAGCTTCCCAGGGCTCTCTTAAAGTGCTCCGCTCCTATTTGCCGCTGTTGCCACCCCCCCTTTGCATCTCACTCACTTTTTAACCCTGCTTTCCAAAACCAACGCGCTCCCCGCGATAAGGGCGGTCCAGCGGGTAAGGCGCAGGTCGGAGAGGCAAATGCGCCCTTGTCCTCAACGAGCTGGTCTTTTATCCCCGCAGCTTTGCCGTATGTATGTCACCCGAGGGAATTTCTTCTGTCTCAGGGGTATGGTTCATGCAGCAGTGGTTAATGGATTTATGGATTTACGGCCAAGATTTAATTGGAGAGACTTGTAAAGTGACAGCGGGATGCTGTCGCCGTTTCAAGTAGTTGAGACGTTCAGAAGTGGTTCTATCCACTGATAGTTACTAGTTAACGAGAAGTTATTAACACAGCTGGCTTAATGGCTTTGGCCGAAAAGAAAGACACTAAAAAGCCAAGGACTCTTGGTGAAAAAGCTGAATTAACAGGATGTTGTAGGAGCTTAAAGATGATAAATGAACTGGAGAGGGAAGGGGGCGGGAGGGGTTTCATTAATTTTTGCAGAAGAGGGCTCTAGGGGAGCAGCCATCAGCACACATTTAAATCAGAAGCGTACTTTTCATATGTATGAAATTGTAAAACTCGTTGTAACTGGATATTGCAGAAGCTGAAAGATAAATAGATTTTGGGGGGAAAAAAACCTAACCCAGACCAAATTAGTGGAAGAGTAACGATGGTCGGATGTAACGTCGGACTCGGCAGCTGGGCGATACAACCAGAGAATAGCTGTTTTTCCTCGTCCCTAGTCGTTCTTGGCTGTTCTTTGCCCCAGTGGTTTGTTCCTGGCTACGGGAGAGCCAGGAGACTGGGCTAACTAGACACACAACTAGCCTGACCCAGCACAGCTGTTTGTCTGTGTGGGAAGGCTGAAAGTAAATTGTAGCCGGTAGGGTCAGTGCCCCCGGTCTGGGCTTGCGCTGGGACGTCTCCCCTCGGGGCTGCCCGCCTCGCTGCTGACAGGTGATGGGGTGTTACTGGTGCACGCTGGCACCGAGCTCATGCAGTCCCTCGGCGAAGAGGCAAGGATGGCGTTAGAGAAGCGTTAGGTGCTGGTTTTGGGAGCCAGAAAAGCAAGTGGGGAGTCTGCCCCGTGATGAGTCAGTGCTTCAAAGGTGACCCTGTCCAACAAGAAGAGGAGCAACCCTGCTTTCATCTGCTTCTCAGCTTGCTCTGTGAGAAATTGTCTGTGGAGAGATGATTGTGCTTGTTAGTCCTCCATCGTCGGCCCAAGAATGGGGGTGTTGGCTGTGGAGGTATCTTCTAGTGGTTTTCTTCTCTTTTTGATACCTTATTTGTGGAGTTTAAATGCCCTTTATGGAAGGACCACTAGAGAAGTTTTAAATCTTTTCTGTATCTTCAAACGAAAGCCCATCTGTTTAAATACAGGTTTGGTTTTAAGCCATTTAAACCACATGAAGTTGCACAGAATGTTATTATAGACCAAAGCAAGCTTTATTCCTGTAGGTGGAGGGTGTCCCCGAGCCGGTGCATTAGTTGTGTTAGATCAATAGAACCATTTTACTGTTGTTCTGGTAGCAGGCAGTGTGCTGTCTGAACAGTGTTTGCCTCTGCTACGGACGTACCGATCATGTTCATATGAATTGCCTCTGGTAAGGAAAAAAAAATACATCTAATATTAAAGATACTGAGACTTATTTGATATTCTCAGCCGGTGGTGCAGATGAGCTATAGAGCAGATGCCTTGTGCTAGTCATGTCTTTTCGGAATAAAGCTCAGTCAAAAGGAAAGCTTAGCAATGCAAAGTGGAAATTCCTGAGCGGAGACATTAATATTACTTTGCATTTTACAAACTGCCTCTTCTGGAGAGTCAGTGGAGTGAAAAAAGAGTCTTAAGGTTGGTGTAACTGATAATCTGTTGAGCAAAGCACAGTCATGGAGAGCTGCTGTGCTGTCAAATACGATGAAATTAATAGTTTGACAAGAATAGCTTGGAGGAGGAGGGGTGGCAGGAAGATGGAAAATAGGAAATAAGAACCAAACTGTTCAAGCAACAGAATGAGGGGGAAAAAACTTTACAGAAGAGGGAGAGCTGGAGGGTAGAGGCATGAAAAGGAAGACTTGCCCTTCAGATTTTGCATAGGTTGCGGTACAACGGGGTGGAATTCGGGGAGGTTGGCGCTGCGGGTAACCGAAGCAAGGCTTACCTAAGGAATGGGACGGTATTTCTGAATGTTGGGAATGAATCTGTATAAATAAATAAGCTAAAATGTTCCCTGTGGTCTAGAGCTATGCCCTCATAGTAGGGCTGAATTCTTGTGGGTTTACTTGTTAAAATTATACAGCCCCGTAATTACACCCTCTTTTTGAAGGGTACGTGTCGTGGCATCGGTTAGTGGGGTAGCCATTATCTTTAGCCGTTCTTCCCCTTTTAGACTGCAAGAAATGTGTAATTGCAGGTTTGAGCCAGGACTTTTTATTCCCCAAGTCTCCTGCATCCCCAAAATTCATGGTTAGTGAGTCAGTCCTTCTCTTATTCCAGCAGATGGTGCAGACTATTCAGGGACGGAGGCTCCCAGAAGCATTCTGCTCCTTCCTTTGAGGCAAGGCAGACTTCCCGAGTGAGGAAAACACTGCCAGAAGGATGGCCCTTGTGCTCTCTAACTGCTATTTTGCAAAAACAGAGCACCATCCCTTTTACCCAGAAGCTGAGGGCGTTGGGAAGCAGAATCTACTGCGGACAGCAGTGGTTTTATACAGAAATAGCTTCAGCGTGGCAGGCTGTGCTGAGTTGGACTAATATTTTTAAGTGGTAAGATGGCTTGGTTGGTGGAGGGTTCCCAGGATTCTTTCACAGTAGCTTATTTCAGACGTGTGCTGCTACCTCAGAGCGAGAACCCAGGGAGCTGTGCCCATCTCAGACAACAGTGGAGCTGTAACGGGACGTTGCCTTTTGCCAAAACAGGGCAAAAGCAGTGACATACGGCTACCGGCGTCAAAGATCTGCTCCTCCTTCTCCTGGAAGCTGTCCCAACCATCCATAGCATTCTGCTGAGGAGCCAAGGGCATCCCAGTAGGAGAACAAATCACAGGCAGCAGATGCCACATCAGCACCTTTGAACCTCCTAGTAGATACCAGCAGCGGTCAGGTGTTGCCCAAGAGAAAGCAAAAGCAGTGACATACGGCTACCGGCGTCAAAGATCTGCTCCTCCTTCTCCTGGAAGCTGTCCCAACCATCCATAGCATTCTGCTGAGGAGCCAAGGGCATCCCAGTAGGAGAACAAATCACAGGCAGCAGATGCCACATCAGCACCTTTGAACCTCCTAGTAGATACCAGCAGCGGTCAGGTGTTGCCCAAGAGAAAGGTTCAGGACTGTCCCATCCTGGCATATCACTGTGTTGTTGCTCACAGGCAAAACACCCTCCTGTCCCTGTGCCACTGAGCTCATGCCCTAATCCAAGGAATTCTGCCAGTTTCTCTGCCCCAGTCGGTGTTCCCTGCACCCTCCGCAGCTCAGATGCCCAAAGCTCATGAGACTCGGTCCTTGGACAGTCCTTACAGAGTAGCCATTCCCCCGCACAGCCCCTCTTGTCCTCTGCCATGAGGTGGAACAAAAAGCAGATCCTTTGCAAGAGACCCCCCTCATCTTTCCATCTCTCATGCCCAAACTTTTTTCCTCCTGATCTTGGCAATTACTCAAGCTGCATGCTTTTTCCCTCTCTCTGTTGGGTCTTCCAATGCAACACCTTAAGCAAATACATTCTGCTTTACTCTTTATTATTCTGCCAACATAAAAATTACTAAAAAACACTTTATAAAATATGTCTTGAAAAATCTAGCGTTACCCAAGAACCTAGAGTTTCCCAGAAAAAGGACTGGAGATAACCATCCAAAGGGGTTCCTCACTGCAGACCCTCCCACATCAGATCCCAACAGCCAAGGAGTGGGAAAAGGGACTCGCTGGAAAAAGCCTGTGCCTGGCAGTGGCTGTGACACATCCTAGAGAAGAAAATTGGCTACTGGTCCAGTTGATCTAGAGGTCGTTTCCTAGGTGGGCACAGTTTTCAGAGGAACACTTTGAGGGAGGCATGTTCACAGGAACTGCGGAAGGAAGAGCCATATTAATATCTCTGGCTGTTGTCCCAGCTGCCAGATGCTAGTGACGATTCCGGGCTACGGGGGACTCTCATAACAGCTTAATAAAGACTCTTATTAAAGAGTCTGGGGACAAGGAAGTCTCCCTTCCAGGACTGAGAGCCCTGGAAGGGAAGTCCAGGCAGAGCAAGCTTTTCAGGTTCAACAGAAGGGAACCCCAGCCCGGAGAAGCTCGTCAAGGCTGGAATGGGCTATCCCAGGACTGGTCTCTAGGGATCTGTAAAGGAAAACAGCAAGGGATTGCCTCCTGTGGCCTCAGAGGGAGGTCTCCCGGGACAGGAGGCCTTTCTCAGCTGGTCCAAAGGCTCAGGTAGCAGTCCCAGAACACTTAGGCTCTGCCTCGCTCTTATTTGGGCATGGGGTTCTCATTGTCATCTGTTGCTTCAGGTGAGTCCCATGGCCCTTTCATCTGGGGAGCAGCATTGGGGTTAGGGTTCTGGACACTGCCTATAAAAAGTGGGATGCCTGTTTCATCTTCAAAGATAATGAAGAGAAAGGGCCGGTCAAGGCTGAAGGCAGAGACCGAGCGTGACATGGCGATGCTGGTAACGGCAGAGGCTTCCACTCCATCCTCCTTCAGCTCCAGGGCAGACTGGTGTTGTACACTGGATACAAATAGAGGATCATCCGTGATCTTCTGGAGATTTGGGTTCGTGAACAGCTCCTGGAGCCCTATGGAAAAATGAGACGAAGTTACCCTTTCCCATTCGGTGCCACCAGCTCTGATTCCCCTCAAAGCTGTCTGGAGGAAGCGATTCCCTAATCTGTTGCTACGTGTGTTGTCCAGCGTGGAGAACTGGCAGGCAGCGGAAGCAAAAGCTGCAGTCCAGCCCAGTTCCCCCGGGTCTCTCTGTACGAAGAGCTGAGGGTGCCAAAACCAGGGGTTTTCACGTGCTTCATCCACCTCTTTTAGAACAAGAAGCAGCAGCAAGTCCGAAGGCTCTTGCTAGGCTGGAAACACTGCTACAGAGGTGATGGTTTTTAAGCACTTCTGCAAACCAAAGCAAACTCTGAATTTATTCTCATCTGGAAGTGCAGTGTATGATGTTTTATTTCGGTAAGCTCTCGGTTCTAGGTTTTGCGATCTGCGTTCTCTCTGTGGGCAATTTCTGTCCTGGACACTACGTTAATAAGAGGCGAAGGTTGATGTGCAGTTGGTCTTGGCTAGAAACGGGGGAATAGGAAGTGCTCGTAAGGATTGTGAGGAGCTGTGAATGCTGACTTCTCTATAGTATCATCTTGTTGGAGCAAAACATTTGGTGCTAGGCAAGCAACGAGTAAGGAGGAGGAGAGGAGTGAGAGTTGAAGGAATTTGGATGTATCCGGAGCAAGCTGTGAGGCACAGCTTTAGAAACAAGGGTGGCAGGTTTTAGTGTTGGCGAACAGATGCCGTAGAGATCGATCGGATTCACTTACTCTCTGCAAATCCTGTGAGAGGCCTTACCCATCTGACTGAGAACCTTGTTGAGTTCCAGCTGGTAGTCCAGTTTTATTCTGGGGATCTTCACCATGGTGGGCATCTCTTTGGGGAAGAGCCTGCATAGCTGTTTGTAAGGGAAATTTTCCAGCACATGAGAGGCATTCCAAGCGTACTGGTTGGGTACAATGACCACAAAACTCATGTTACCCTTAAAGGGAAACTTGGCCACCTGGAAATAAAACCAACCAGAAGAGTTTACGGAAGAGGAAGGAAAGAGCTGTTTATGAAAGAGGAGGGAAATGCTTTAAATTTAGTCATTTTCTAATTGGAATCCAGAGCCGGTCTAGCTATCGGGCAAAACCAGCCTGGTGGGAAGGAGTGTCCAATCTCTTCAGAGGAGAAGATTTGTTGGAATAACAGCATTAGATTTTAATATTTAGCCACTGACAGGTGAAGATTGAACATGTGGCAGAGGGGAAGCCACATGCACAAACATCGGCCCCCACTCCAGCAGTAGCTGTACTCTGAAAGGTTCCAACAGTGCATTGTCTGAGGGAATTCCTTTCCATATTTCCTCATTCAACTCAGGGCTTTAAACCTCCAGTAGTTCCCACTTAGTGGGAATATCTCTTTGTGGTTTTTCCTAGAGCATGAAGATTCAACATTGTTGCTAGAAGCAAGGACAAGGGATACTTATTACATTTTTGTGTGCTATGCCTGTTAAAAGACATTTTTTTTTTTTTGGAGACAATATTGCAGGCAGTAAAATACCAGAGCAAGAGGAAATTCCAGTCAAAACTTGGAGTGCTCCTCATAGAACCCTACCTGAATGTCCTGGGATTCCAGTGTAAACCAGCTCAGGGCATACTTCTGGGCCTTCATCATCTCAACCGGGACCACAAACTCATTGTCAAGGTGGAACTCGTCTGGCCCAGTGAAGCTAGCGTCAAACTTATTCCTCCAAAACCCTACCAAAGGAAAAATTTACATGGTGAGCTGCCTGTGACCTGGCAAAGCGGAGCAGTGATGCATTGCTGTCCAGGATCCTGAACCAGGAGACAAAAATACTGCAGGATCCACCTGCTGCGTTCTGGCTGTGCTGACAAGGAACATTTTTAGCACAGGGGAAGCAGTTGGGAATCATTGCTGTAAAGAAATCTCAGCAAGAGGAACGGCAGCTGTCCAGGACAAGTACAGGCAGATTGGGTAGCGGGAAGCAGTGGAAGGAGGTGCCATTCAGCTCGTGGAGAACTAGCAGATAGCTATTCCTCTTGAAAAGGAAGGCCTGGAGCTCACCGTGGAAGTGGATCGCATTGAGCAGGAGCATCACTGTGTTTTCAGGGAGCTGCTGTAGGAAGGTGGGTATTTGCCCATTAGTTGCTTCCTTTACCCACTGGTTTATGACTGCGAGGTCATCCTCACTAATCCCGGAAAGGATCATGGGCTTTGCTCCGTAGAATTTCTCCGAATCCTCCAGGAACTTCTCTTTCACCTCAAATCCTGACAGAAGGGAAGAATTCTACATGAAGTCATCAGACATTGAAAAAAAATCGGCTGAGTGGCTCAGCCAGTGGCATGACCCTCGCCAGGAGTGCTCAGGGAAGGAGACGTCTCCCAGCATGGCAGCGTCACTCGGTCACCGTCAGTTTTACCCTACGCGGGTGCAGACTCCCCCCGTGCCAGCTCTCACCGTTCTGCAGGTACAGGCGCGACGCAAGGCTGAGGGTGGATGCCGTGAGCTGTCTGCGAGCGGTGCCCAGTGTGTGGTGGAGACAGGGCACCGACTCCAGGTGCATCGCCTCCAGCAAATGCTTCTCTGTCTGATTCCCTGCTCCTAAAAAAAAAGATAAATCCTCTTTGTTCATGCTGGGAAACAGGGACGTTACTCTAGCTGCCTCCTGTTAGGAACATCCTGTGTCTTATGAAAGAGGCTGGAGAAACCTGAGAGTAGGAGCCTCAGCATAGGCTGCCGAGGGCAGCTTCAATTGTCATCGTACCTAATTAAAGCTGCAGGAGGAAGATTAAGTGGAAGGTGCTGTATTTAATCTCTGCATTTTCCTAGTGGGTACAGGGGAGGGCAGGGACCGGTGCCTTTGTAAGGAAGGACTTACCCAGTGCCAGCTGAGACAAGGCGAGGGCGATGCTGAGGGGTGACAGGACCACGTTGGGTCTGTTGGACTCCAGCTGGACCTCTCTCAGCAGGTCAGTGCTGAACCTCATCAAGCCATCTGCTAGCCTCCTGCTCATCTTCCAAGTCACCTCACAGCTTGGATCTTCAGCCTCTCCTTCCTCTTCGGAAGAGGCCGTTTCCCCAGACAGTTGCTGGTGGTGACAGCCCACGGCCTCAGCTGTGACTTCATCTTCTGGGCTCTGGTCATTCCTCGTGCCTGGCAGCGCGGTGGTGAAGGGCAGCACGGGTCCATCGATCTCCTGGAAGTTGTCATCGGTGAAATTGCCCAGCTCTGCATGCAGCACAGTTGGGATGGCTCCCAGCGGATCAGACTGCACATCTCCAGCACTTTTGATGTCCTGGGGAGAAATGAGAAGGAGAGCACTGGGAAAGCGGGAGCACGGCGGTACCACCCCTCGGGGGTTTTACTGCACACCTGAACGGGTTGAGAAAACTCTCCAACCTAGTGGTTGTATTCACTTCACCTTGCCTCTTGCCCTGAGGTGACAAGCACCTCAAAGAGTTTGGAAAACAGAAGCTCTTATATCCTGGGAAAACAGAGTGAGTGAGGGTCTTGCGGTGGTTCCTCCTCCGCTTGCCCTCAGGGGCTGCCCCAGGCGAATGAGCCCCGCAGGCGTGCTTAGAGGGCAAAACCCACCTCCTGCTTGGCACACATCCTGTGCCTTCCCCGTTTGTGGATCCATCGCCCTCAACCTTGCCCTCACCTCCTCCTCTCCCTTATTTTAGCACTGCCCGTCTGCCTCCTGTGTCGGTCAGCACCCGCTGTCACAGCCTGGATCCATCCTGGGTCCTGGTTCCAACCCTCCTCCAGGCATCTGTCTCTTCCTGACTTCTCTGTTCCACTCCATCCCTCTTCTCTCCAAATTCCTCATTTTCCAGTTTTCTAAGCCTTAGCCTACAGCACTGCTGCTACTCTCCTCACATTTGTATGGTCTTAATCACATGCTTTTTGCCTCGGATCTCTCTGTTCCCGCCGGCATCCGGATGACATTCCTCTTCTGCAGGAGCACCACACTGGCGGAGCCAGGCTCCGTGGGTAGCATCAACCTCGGGCCTTTCTCCCCATCACCCTCGTAGCTTGTTCTTTTCCTCACCTTCCCTCATCCATCAGGAATGAAACAATCCACCTGCCAGTCCCTGCACACACCAGCTACTGATGTTTACTCCATACGCTTCCCAGTTATTTAGGCCGGAGCTTCCAAGACAAAGGAGCATGGCCCTGGCAGCAGCAGCGGGTGAGGTGGGGAGGGAACTGCACGGGGAGGACTTTCTCGTTGCGCCGACACTACTGGATTGCACTTCCTGGGCTCACCCGATCTCGGGACAAACTGGGAAACCACTGCGCGTACCACGGTGTAATTCCAGGCCCCGCAGGGGGAACCAGCCACTGCTTACCTTCAGCTCTCCGTATTTGTCCAAGAAGAGACGCTTTTGCTCAATGGCGTGTGCCAAGGAACACTGTAAGGGAAAAAAACAACAGAGGCAAAGTCAGGGCCCAGACAATTCCCTCTGAATCTCCAGGATCAGTCTTCTCCCACTCCCGACACATTCCCGTGGGGCCAGGTCAGAGCTGGCACCAGCCCGGCCCTAGTCCCCGCGTGGCTAGAGCACGAGCAGGGCTTTAGGATGCAGCGCCAGAGGCGGCGGGGGCCACGGTGGGGGCCACGGCGGGGAGATACGAGGGATCAGGAGCCTGGGGAGACGGCAGATGCCGGGTTTCTTTGGAAAGGGACCAGGTCGGAAGGGCAGAAGATGATGTATCCTCTAGAGAGGGAGCAGCGCGGTTTTGCAATCTCAGATCTGACAGGGATCCAGATGTAAAATGGGAGGGGAAAAAAAAAGCTGTTATTAAACACCTCCTGTTAACCCCTGAAGGTGGCGGCCACTAAATACTGCCGAAGCCAAGACTCCAAAGATTTTCTACAGAAATCCACTTGAATAAGGAGAATATCCACCGCTGTGTTAGCTGGGAAGATGAAACCTCACGCTAAGGCACGGGCTGACCCCGGAGCAGAGCAACAGTGTCCTCCACCGATCTGCCTTCCAGGGCTTCTCACGGAGAAGTTCCAGGTGGGATTTGCCCCGTGGTGGAGGGGCCGGAGACCCACCTCGTTCCCATGCCCTTTGCTGTGCTCGCACCGCAGGGGCCCGCACCGTTGGTGGGGTGAAGCGACTTACCCTCGTGTGACTGTGCAGAGCGGAGAGGCAGAGCAGCAACAGACCCCGGAGGAGCACCATATCCCTGGAACAGAAGGACCAGGCGAGAGAGGAGTTATTTCCAGCTGCCTGGCAGCGGCAAGCTGAGCCGGTACAGGTCTACAGGGAGAAAATTATCAACCTGGCCAAACAGGTTGGCGCAGGAGCTTGCAGAAGCGACAGGGAGGTGAACAATGCTGCAAAGAAACAACACGGGACTCCTGGCTCCGACGCCAAGGCAGCGAAATCAGAGAGGAACAGGGACCGGCGCCGGAGCAGAGCTGGAACCACAGCCAGGCTCCAATGTGACGCCCTCCTGCTTGGATCCCATGTTTCTGACCCCGTCGCACTCATTCCTCCAGATTGGAAATGATATTTTCCTAATCAGCCCTGCGCACGCTCTGCCTTTGGAAGACGAGAAGAGCCTCTGCTCCTTTCCTGGAGCTCCTTCCCTTACCACCAAGGTATGGGCACAGCGTCCTCGGCCATGCCCCTGGCTTTTGGGAGAAGGGGTACTAACCTGCCTCAGCGGGGGACAGGCAGTCGGCAGGTGCCGTCCTGGAGACTTTGCCAGTAGCAAATACAACGCCAGAGCAGCTTCTCGGCAATATGTCCTGGGATAGAGGGTCCTCCCCTTCCCAGCACTCACCTTCCCCCTTTGCTGGCAAACCTGGCCTCTCCCACCCCCGCACCCTGGTTCCTGTATGGGATGGTGGGAGCAGGGCTTCCAGGGCCAACAGATAACCCCCCCCATTCCCTGCGCACTGCTTCCCGCAGCTACTTTTCCCATTCAAACGGGAATGCCACACGCTTAATTCCTGGGGCTGTTCCCACTCTCCGAGCAGTCCCTGCTTTGACCTGAAACTCCTGGGCTGTGACCCCTGTTGCCGACTGGAAAAGGCAAAATCTGAGGCCGTTTCATTCCTCCTCCTCCCTCACCCCAAATCCTGCCGCCACATGTAAACCCAAACACCCCTTTTCTCCCCGACAGTGCCCATCCTTTAACCCTCTGGCAAATCCACCCCCCTCTCCCAGAGAGGCTTGTAGGGGGAGCCCCATTTACTGTCCGATCCTCGTTCGTTTGCCCCTTACCTGGGGCTGTCCGTGTCCAGGTCGGAGCTGGCACCTGCTTTAGCCCGGCTGACAGCTCTCCGTGGGGCAGACACCGTCTCCCAGCCCTCCTACGCGCCGGCAGCGACCTTCGGCACCACCCCGCTTTGAGAACCTGGCAGGCAAATATTGACCTACGGCACGCGGTTAAACATTTGTTTGGGGGACGAGAGTGAATTTTTGGTGCATTTGGAGATGAGGAGACACTTTGGGCGACTCAAGGCAACGTTAACACCGTGTTTCCCAGCTCGGAATCTCCCACCAGTGGAAGTTGTCCCTCGCAGTGGCTCTGCTTTCCATACATTGGCTCCGCTGGGAACACGCTTTTATCCATAACCTTTAACAAAAACGTAGAGCTTGGTGTTTATTGCCGCGGGGCTCGCTCTGGGTTTGGAATTCTCCTTGCAGAAACTCCCGGATATTTGCTCCCTGTGTGCCAGCTGCTCCTGCTGCAGCAAGCGCAGGCACTGGCTGAACAGCCGGTGGGGGCCGGAGGGTCACGTACCGGAGCGGGAGGCAGGGATGCTGGGGCTGGGCTGAGCCCAGAGCAGCTGGTACCTGCCCCGGGGCACAGCACACGCCGGAGCCCTGCCGGGGTCTCCGTCCCGGTGCCGGGCACCATGGCACACACACACGGCTGTGGCATGGAGGGAGAGCCTTGGGCATGGGCAGAATTCCAGCGGTCCCATCCGGCGTGGGTTTGTGCCCTACGCAGAAGCGATGGCGATCCTTCCCAGCTCTGTTCTCATCCTCAGCACTAGAGGAGGCACTAAGGAGCAGCGGGAATGCCGGCGGGATTGCAGCGTTTGCAGTCACCCGCTGCTTGCAGCAGCTCGTGATTCCCAAACTCACCCCGGGCACTGGGAAGGAGCGGAGAGGAGACAGTCAGAGCTCTGCAACCAGAAAATACCCTGGGACCTGCCGCTGCAACACAAGGAGCTACATCCCCTTGGAAAGCAGATCCAAGTCCCTGTGCAGCACAGTCCTACCTCACATCCAGGGTATCTTCACACATCCCTCCTCCAGCTCACCCAGGAACACAGGAGGAGCTGGGATACACTTTGGATCCAGGTGTCAGAGCAGGAGCTGCAGCCAGCACACCCACCACATACAGGCGTCCCCCCCGGCTTCCCCACACACCCCTCTGCATCTCTTTCAAAGAGTTTATTAGAAGTAAATATTTACATCTATTGCAAATGGTTAATAGGCAACACGGGACTGCGAGCTCCCCTTGGGCAGGGAAGGACAGCGAGAGCCAACTGCTCACACTCCCCGGACGCGGAGGGCAGACTTCCCGGCAGCTGGATGAAAGCCCTTTCCCCTCCAGGACAACCCAGGCTCCTCCTCCACCCGAGATAAGAGCTTCCCGCTTCCCGCTCCCCCGATACTGGCTCTGACAAGAATGGATGGGAAAAGGGCTGTAATAGCAGTGAGGCAACTGCTCCTGCTGCTGGGTCAGAGCTCCCTCCTTGCCGCCGGGGTGGGAACGGAAGGTGCTGTCCCAAAGGAAAGGTCAGGAGACCATGCAGGATCGTGCCTCCTGGCTCTCACCCTACAAGAGCAGGAGGGGATAGAACTGAGCACCTTTTTGCTGTCCTGGCTTTCCCAGGAGTCTGACTGGCACAAGGGAGAGAAGAGGACTGGAAAGACCATTTCTGGAGAACGCCCCAGCGCGTGGCACACGGGGC